GTATGTTTTCATTTCCCCCTATAGTAAAGAAACTAACAATATCATGTTATATGTAATATGTAAATATGGTAATATGTAAAACTGAGACTTGAACACATGCCTTTGATTTTACACAACATTCTTTTCACTATTTCTTCATTTCTGAACTTAATTCCACAGAATTCTAATGTACAAGGTAACATTCTACGTTAGTTAGTGATTAACTGACACCATCAGGGCCTTTCCCTCCAGTAGTTTGAGTGTGAGACTTCGGAGACAAACAGCAGCTCAGTATAAAGCAAAAGGATTTTTTGAGGTCATGAGGAAAAGAAGTTATGGAAAACAATAAAAGAAGTTCAGAAAAATCATGGCAGTGCAACTAATCTAAATTAATAAAATTATATATAATTCCAGTGGAAGCCATAAATCTATCCATTCCTGTAGGTGCAGTAGAATCAGGCACAAAAGGTTTTTCTGGCTATATAAGCTGAAGTTGTATTTTGCACTATCTTCCTATTCTAGAAGCCATGTAAATGATTCATGGAAACATGGTTCACGTAAACTGAGCTATGTAAATGTTTTTTTAATTTATTTTATTTTCCTTTGTTTCTTCAAAAATTAACTTTCATCAAGTAAGATATCCAAAATATATTCCCATTCCTTGGTATATAAAGTTAGAAAACTAACACAGAAAATCTAAACTTAGTGATGGTCCTGAAAATCTTCACGTTTGGCTTTGGAAAGTATCTCTATATTTTCTATGTGCTTTTGATAAATCACATACGAAAATTCGCAAATAATATATATGAAGTCTACATTCTGAATACCTGTTACAGGATGACTTTTGCTGAATCTTTTCTTCCTTTTGAAAGTATTTCACTGCTGGCCAACCGTGTTACTTTCTCATAACTCAATGTTGTCCTTTTAAAATTTCCTTTATTTCTGTTTAAGTGCCTTTTACCAAAAAGATGAAACATCGAGAGCACTCCTTGCATGTTTCAAGAGGTTAATAAAAACAACATGTAGAATTATAATGCTAGCTTAAAATAATATGGGTTCAAAAGTACAATTTGCATTAAATAATCTTTAATTCAGATACCCAATGTCAATAAATATAGTGTCCTCTTATACAAACAATATCTTGAGAAAAAACATAATTCTTTGTTTAGAACTTCACCTTTCAAGTTACTCTTGGGCTTTGGCTTCATGTTGCTCCATGAGCATATTTCTATAGCTTCTATAGCTAACATTCTTCAAGATATACTAAAACAATGAGCAGCTTCAGTAGTGCTTGTACTACTCACAGTGGTAATAGCAATAGTAACTATCTTCTTGCAAGAGACTACTGTTTACTAAGTACCTCATTTTTATTAACTCATTTTGTCAGCATAATCTTTTGAAGTAGGTTAAACACAAGGTTTATTTTACAAAGAAGGAAACTGAGGTTTGGCTATATTTGTTACTTGCTTTAGTCTTAACCATTATGGATTCTTAATAATTGTAAAATTTACACATAGATATTAAACACCAAACAGGTAAAAAATATTTAAAACTCCCTACACTCTGAGGTTTTTAAGCATGAGGTTCTACAACCTTATTTGTCCACACATTGAATTCAGTGGAGATAGTAAGATGAACTGTCACAGTATTTATCTTGGAACTTTTAAAAATAATCTGAACAACTGATAACATAATTATTCATCAAAATAAATATTAAAGGCGGCTATAATCTTATTTTTCTGAAACTATTTATAAAGTATCAGGCTCTGATCTTAAGGTAGTATTTTATTGTCTCAAGGGCACTGAAGGGCACTCATGAAAATTCAGATATGGGATCTGCTTCTCTAACACTCACAAACATTCTCAAGAGCATAGCCTAGCCCTCCCTGACCTTGCATAATTATAAATGCATTGCCTTAGTGTTGACACTCTTTACATACTTTGAAGAAAGCATTAAATGCTTTGCAGTTCTGAGGTCAAGATATTGGTCAGCATTAAATTTGACCTTGTAAAGAGAAGATTATACCGGATCAATTTTCTTATCTTCTATGATAAAGGGACAGTCCTCAAAGAAAAAAAATGATAGATTTTCATTAACTGCAGCTGAGTTAGACTTCTAGTTTCATCCTATAATCCAATTAGCAATTAAGTGCAGAGCTTTATGGGTCATCCTTCAGAACCCTTTAGAAGTTCTGCAGAGGTTCCCCTAGAGGCTGCCTAGGAGACTAGGGTCCAAGGACTGAGAGGATGGGTCTCTGGACTGTCCTTCACGGTTTCAAGTGTAGCAGCTCTGCTTTTATCTGTTTTACTTTTTTGGCCATTGAATGTGTTTAGAGAAAGAATATCTCTACCTCAAAATTCAAAATACATCTTTCAAACCATACACTTACAGATGTGTTCTCAGCTGGATGGGACATCAGATTCAAGGGCTCTTAACACTAATGCCCTTAACTGGGGCTATCTAGCAGAGATTACAGCCAGATGAAGGGCCTATATAATTTGATATTTTTGTTAGTAATCTAGATGAAAGAACTAAGATTATAATCTCATGTTTCTAATTGATGCTGATTTAGGTATGGTAATAATCAAATTTAAAAGCAACCTGATAAATTATATGAAGAATCATTTAGAAACACAGTGAAGTTTAATAGGATTAGGATTTAGGACCAAGTGCAAACATATCCAATTAAAATAGAGAAGGAAGATACAGGCAACAACAGGGTAAAAAAAGAAAAGGAAGTCATTGCCTATCCACAAATCTCGGTGTGTAAGAATGGAAAAAAATAGGCTATCAGCAGTTGGCTGTATTAACAGTAATAACATAGGAACAAGTCTTTCACTTTATTTGACATTGGACAGGCCCTAATTAGCGTATGTTTTTTCATAGTCTCATTTGAGAAGTTTATTGAAAAGTTAAATAAGGACTAGCAAAGAACACAAAATACTAAATTATTCCTATGAGGAAAAGTTAAAGTAAATTGAAGTATTTACCTTGAAAAAGAAATGACCATAGGGAAAGATTATTGTCCTCTAAGGCTACGAATAATTACAATAAATTGCTCTCCTAGCCTACAGAAGACTGCTAGATACGAGGGATATATAAAAATAATGGCAAGATAAATCGATTTGCTATAAGTAAGCCATTTTGATAATAAGGAAATTTTTAAATACTGAAACATTCAAATAGGAAAGATTATAAGACTTTTTTCATCCCTAGATAGCTTTTACAGGAAAAAATGCATTCCCTATCCTGGTTCACCTATGCTATTTCACTGGTTTATGTTCTCAAATATCCACACAGGGATACTGGAAATGTAGGGGTTGCACTCTGGTAAGTCTATTTCCTGAAGTTCACGTGTCTTCTTCACACTTTCAGTGTTTCTCTCCTGGTTCTACCTATCTTCTCGGCTTTGGGTTATTACCAGTCCACTAGTTCACACATTGACACAGATAAGGTATACAAGTCTTTGTCAGAAGAAGAAAATATGATAAAGGTACTTTGCAATTCAGACATAGTACTGGTACAGTGCCACAGTTCCCAATCACATATGAACAAACACTTCCAGGCTGCTTGCAAATATATACCCTGAGGTTTCTCTCTTATATGTATAATTGGCTTGCTTTCAGGTTTTCCCAATCTCTGAAGTGCTAGATCCTATATCTTGACTCTTCTAGTCTTTCTCTTATTATTTCTTCCATAAGCATCTATCTGCCTTGCCAGGCTCCTTGACTTTTGCTAGCCTTTTTCCTTATAAGGTCCTCAAATGGCTCCATTTTTATGGATTGCTCAGTGTAACTATGCCATTCAGGCCTATCAGATACTGTTGATGCCCCGTCCATATGTCTTCAGCACTTCTAGTTCCATCCTATAGTCTTACTAACAGTTAAATCCAGAGGCTTTCAAATTGAACTCTACTCATACTGAACAAGTTGCACTCACCAGTCCTACTGAATCTTCTTACTGCAAGCACCTGCCACTCTGCCTGAGGGTTGTTTTTTTGGGCCACAAGAGCTTTGATTGGCTGAGGCAGGAGGTTCTGTGGAGGAGTAGCCTTTAATCAAGGATGAATAGGTGGATAAATTAGATTTTGTTCACCTCAGGTGAGATAATTCTGGGGTGTATTCTATAGTACCCCCAGAGTTCTCCAGCAGGATCAAGCCCCAGGTGCCTGCAGTGACTCCTAATTAGATCTTGTTGGTTTTCTTCCCCTCCCTGCCTCACTTTTTTTGTCTCATTTTTTCCTAAATAGACTAATGATAACACAACTCCTTACCTCAGGGTCCATCTCCAGGGGAACGCATTCTAACATAAGGTATCTCCATTTCTTTACATATGCATTTTCCAAAGAACCTCCATTGTTTTTTAAATAACATTAAAAAAAAATACTCCACATTAACATGTGAATAAAAACAAATATTGCTGATCTCTGTATTTGCAGTGTGCCCACAACAAATGGTTCACTCATACCCTTGGGAAGATGGCATATATTCCCCCAAATAGACAACTCTCAGACTGGGACAGTTCCAGTGTGTGTTGTTCCTGGCAGCTCCAAGGGAAATTTCTTACAGAACACGCTGTGATTCTATGATCTAGTATGAGAGAGTTTGGGCATAGAAACACCTCATTGTAAACACATTTTTCTACCAATTTCAGTACAATGATGAGAAAGATCCTTTCCTTTCTGTTCAAGAAAAGAAAGCAAATTACTTCCTGTATTTTCTTTGGCTCCCAATTGTTCTATGTGACACTTCAATGAATCCTGCACACAACGAATCCTAACCTTTCTGCACACAGAGCAGTTAAATGTGCTCATTTGCATAAGTTATAACCAAATACATAAGGAAAAGTGTTGTCTGTGATAGTAGATCTGACTTTGGGGATACATATGAATTTCCAAAGTTCTAATGGATGTCAGCATTGACATTACGGCGTAAAAATAAAACATTTCTTACAATCATTCCAGGCATTCCAGATGGGGAAGAGTGTCGGAATAATTCAATGGAAGGTAAAGCAAACTTACCCGAATCATCATGACTGAACATCTGATATCATGAATTGTATCATAGATCTTCTTTGAGATGTCCACAAATTGATTATCATCAAATACATCCATAGAGTTTTTACTTAAGGCTTCCAAGGCGACATTCACTTGTGTCACAAACTCAGGAATGGCTGTTAAAATGAATACGAATGCATTTGTTTGTATTTTCAGATTTCTGGAGTTTCCAGGAGACAATCATATTTTTAAGCAAATATTTGATTAATAGAATTTTAATTATTTCTTTAATGTAGAGAGACAAAGCATTTTCGCAGGATAATCTTGGATCTCTGAAAAGTAAAGAAAATCAAAATAATAAAAGACATTTTTAAAGAAATATTTAACAAGATTATCTTTCTCCTTTATATCATTTTTGTTTTTTGGCCTGGGACCATATAATCACTTTTCATCCTATCCAATACAAGCCGCAAGAAATTTAAAAAAATAATTGGTGTGAATAACAGTTGAAATTGTGAGTATAAAGATACTTAAAGAAAGAAAGCATTTGAGTTGCCAAATACAATAAAATTTAATTAAAGGTAGTAACTCTATCTCATAGAAATAATAAAATTACTCTAGACTTTCCCTTGGTAAGATATTTTCCCTGTCATCAAAAAGATTAATGCAAAGAAATTGGTGATCTTATATGCAAAATGTTTCTTAAAAAACACAACATTGAATGAGTGTAAGGATGCATTTATCAGTAAGGTCAATCCATAGACTATCGTTTTTTAATTAAGATTTCAAAATAGTCTCAATTAAAAAGATTTCTCCAAATTTACTTTGAAGGTTAACGATAGTAACATTCATTAACTCTTCACTAGATTCAAGGCACTTTTTAAGTGTCTACTGTGATTTAAAGCCTAAAACAACACCAGTATTAATCTGGGGTTAATACTTAGTTGAACAACAAAGACACAGAGAAATCAAGAATCTTGCCCAGGGTCATTCTGATAATATATAGCAGAATATAAATTTGAACTCATACTGCCAGAATGCAGAGTCTACACTCTTTACTACACAGTCATACACCATATAATAACATTTTGGCCAACAATGGACCGCATATACAAAGGTGGTCCCATAAGATTATGATGGAGCTGAAAAATTCCTATTACCTACTGATGTCATAGCCATCGTAAGGTCATAGCAAAATGCATTACTCATGTGTTTGCGGTGATGCTGGTGTAACCAAACCTACTGTATAGAGTGGCCAACTGGATAAAAATATAAGACCCATATGTATGCTGCATACAAGAGATACACTTCAGACCTAAAGACACTCACAAATTGAATGTGCAGGGATAGAAAAAGATATTTCATGTAAATGGCAATGCAAAGAAAGCTAGGGTAGCAATACTTATCTCAGACAAAATAGACTTTGAAACAAAAACTGTAATAAGAGACAAAGAAGGGCACTACATAATGATAAAGGGAACAATCCAACAAAAGGATATAACACTTGTAAATATCTATGCATCCAACATAAAGGCACCTAAATATATAAAGCAATTATTAACAGACATAAAAGGAGAAATAGATAGCAACACAATAATAGTAGGGAACTTTAACACTCCACTTACACCAATGGATAGATCACCTAAACAGAAGATCAATATGGAAACATTGGCCTTAAAGGACACATTAGACCAGTTGGACTTAGTAGATATATACAAAACATTGCATCCAAAAACCACAGAATACACATTCTTTTCAAATGCACATGGAACATTCTCCAGGATAGATCACATATTAGGCCACAAAAGTCTTAATAAATTTAAGAAGACTGAAATAATACCAAGCATCTTTTCTGACCACAATGGTATGAAACCAGAAATCAACTAAGAGGAAGAAAATTGGAAAAGCCACATATATGTGGAGATTAAACAAAATGCTACTGAACAATGATTGGGTCAATGAAGAAAAAAAAGGAGAAATCAAAAATACCTGGAGACAAATGAAAATGAAATACAAAATGCCAAAATTTATGGGATACAGCAAAAGCAATTCTAAGAGGGAAGTTTATAGCAATATAGGCCTACCTAAACAAATAAGAAAAATCTCAAATAAACAATCTAACAGTGCACCAAAGGAACTGGAAAAAGAAGAACAAAGAAAGACCAAAATCGTTAGAAGGAAGAAAATAATAAAATCATAGGAGAGATAAATGAAATAGAGACTAAAAAAACAATAGAAAAAAATCAATGAAACTAAGAGCTGGTTTTTTGAAAAGATAAACAAAATAGACAAACCTTTTTTTGACAAACCAAGAAAAAAAGAGAGAAGGGTCAAGTAAATAAAATCAGAAATAAAAGAGGATAAATTACAATGAACACCTCAGAAATACAAAAGATTATAAGAGAATACTACAAAAAACTATATATCAACAAAATGAATAAAAAAGAAGAAATGGATAAATTCTTAGAATCATACAACCTTCCAAAACTGAATCAAGAAGAGACAATGTGAATAGACCAATTACTAGTAAGGAGATCCAAACAGTAATCAAAACATCCCAAAAAATAAAAGTCCAGGCCCAGACAGTTTCCCTGGTGAATTCTACCAAACATTCAAAGAAGGCTTAACACCTACCCTTCTCAAACTCTTCCAAAAAATTGAAGAGGAGGGGAAGCTACCCAACTCATTCTACAAAGCCAACATTACCCTGACACCAAAACCAGACAAGGACAACACAAACAAAGAAAATTACAGGCTGATATCACTGATGAACATGATGCAAAAATGCTCAACAAAATACCAGCAAATTGAACACAAAAATACAGTAAAAAGATCATACATCATGTTCAAGCAGGATTTATTCCAGCAATGCAGGGATGGTTCAACATCTGCAAATCAATTAACGTGATACACAACATTAACAAAATGAAGAATAAAAATCTCATGATCATCTCAATAGATGTGGAGAACGCATTTGACAAGATACAGCATCCATTTATGATAAAAACCCTGAATAAAATGAGTATAGAAGGAAAGTAACTCAACATAATAAAGGCCATATATGACAAACCCACAGCTAATATCATTCTGAATGGAGAAAAACTGAAAGCTATCCCTCTAAGAACAGGAACCAGACAAGGATGCCCACTCTCACCACTGTTATTTAACATAATATTGGAAGTCCTAGCCAGAGCAATCAGGCAAGAAAAAGAAATAAAAGGGATCCAAATTGGAAAGGAAGAAGTGGAACTGTTACTATTTTCAGATGACATGATTTTATATACAGAAAACCCTAAAGAATCCACCAAAAAACTTTTAGAAATAATAAGTGAATACGGTAAAGTTGCAGGATACAAAATCAACATATAAAAATCAGTTGCATTTCTATACACTAACAACAAAGCAGAAAGAGAAATTAAGAATACAATCCCATTTACAATTGCAACAAAAAGAATAAAATACCTCGGAATAAAGTTAACCAATGAAGTGAAAGACCTGTATACTGAAAACTATAAAACATTGTTGAAAGAAACTGAAGAAGACATAAAGAAATGAAAAAATATTCTGTGCTCTTGGATTGGAAGAATTAACATAGTTAAAATGTCCATACTTCCCTAAGCACTCTACAGATTCAATGAAATCCCTATCAAAGTCAATGGCAGTTGTCACAGAAATAGAAAAAAGAATCCTAAAATTTATATGGAACAACAAAAGACCCCAAATAGCCAAAGGAATCCTGAGAAAAAAGAACAAAGCTGGAGGTATCACACTCCCTGACTTCAAAATATACTACAAAGCTACAGTAGTCAAAACAGCATGGTATTGGCACAAAAACAGACACACAGATCAATGGAACAGAATCGAGAGCCCAGAAATAAACTGACACATCTAAGGACAGCTAATATTCAACAAGGGAACCAAGAACATACAATGGAGAAAGGAAAGTCTCTTCAATAAATGGTGTTGGAAAAACTGGACAGCCACATGCAAAAGAAGGAAAGTAGACGATTCTCTTACACCATACAAAAAATTAACTCAAAATGGATTAAAGACTTGAATGTAAGACCTGAAACCATGAAAATTCTAGGAGAAAACATAGGCAGTATGCTCTTTGACATCAATCTTAGCAGCATATTTTCAATTACCATGTCTGCCTGGTCATGGGAAACAATAGAAAAAATAAACAAATGGGACTACATCAAACTAAAAACCTTCTGCACAGCAAAGGAAACCATCAACGAAATGAAAAGACAACCTAACAATTGGGAGAAGATATTTGCAAACCATATAACTGATAAGGGGTTAATATCCAAAATATATAAAGAACACATATATCTCAACAACAAAAAAACTAACAATCCAATTAAAAAATGGTCAAAAGATCTGAACAGACATTTCTCCAAAGAAAGTTTACAGATGGCCAACAGGCACATGAAAAGATGTTCATCATCATTAACTATCAGGGAAATGCAAATCAAAACTACAATGAGATATCACCTCATGCCCATCAAAATGACTATAATTAACAAGACAGGAAACAACAAGTTTTGGAGAGGATGTGGAGAGAAGAGAACTCTCATACACTGCTGGTCGGAGTGCAAACTGGTGCAGTCACTATGGAAAACAGTATGGAGATTCCCCTCCAAAATTAAGACTAGAACTACCATACAATCCAGCTATTCCACTGCTGAGTATTTATCCAGAGAATGTGAAAACACAAATGTGTAAAGATACACGCACCTCTGTGTTCGCTGCAGCATTATTCACAATAGCCAAGACTTGGAAGCAACCGCGGTGCCCATCAAGGGAAGAATGGATAAAGAAGATGTGCTATATGTACACAATGAAATACTACTCAGCCATAAGAAATGGTGAAATCCAGCCACTTGTGACCACATGGATGGACCTGCAGGATATTATGCTAAGTGAAATAAGTAAGACGGAGAAAGTCAAATGCCTTCTGATCTCACTCATAAATAGATGAGAAAAACAACAACAAACACGTAGAGACAGAGACTGGATTGGTAGTTACCAGAGGGGATAGGGAGAAGGAGGACTATAAGAGGGGTGATTAGGCACATGTGTATGGTGATGGATTTTAATTGGTATTTGGGTAGTGAACATGACATAATGTATAAAGAAACCAAAATATAATGATGTACACCTGAAATTTATA